CCCCTCCCCTCCCCTCCTCCCCTTCCCTTCTTCTAATCTCCGTGCCTATTGGTTTAGCCCAGTGGTAGCAAGCTTATGGCACATGCCACAGCAGGCTGTTCATATCATTGAAAACTAAGATTCACCATCACTGGTTTAGGTTTTTAATAACTTCCTGGCTTTCAATCTTTGCCTTTCCAAGTAAATTTGAAAAAAAAAATGATTACTTACCTAGTTTAGTAAGTGTATGCAAGCTTTTATGAAGGAATTAAGAAGTTTCTTTTTTATGTATTTAGTATACAGACTCGCTACACAGACCAAATTCGTAGTGACCCTCCAGTTCTCAGCCTCTCAAGCGCTGGGATTATAAGTGTGTGCCACCCTGCCTAGTTTCAGTCACTATCACAGTATGCCCCCAGGGCAGGGCTGGCATGGCAAGCCAGGGATTGAACCCTGGTCCCTGCATCTGCCTAAGCAGGCACTTTTAATCCATTGAGCTATCTGGCCAGCCCTAAGACATTTCTTTGGGACATATGACCCTGAAGTTTTATGGCCTACATATTTATATCATCCCTGGAGATCTTCCTTAAGCAATATGTCTAATTTCTCTCTCTATATTCATTTTCAGTGACATCTAATTGGTATAATTCTATTTGAGTATATTGTTCTTATTTAGAATACTGTGCTAAATTTTCATTAATTTTTGTCTTCTCCCAGGGCTCACGTGGTGAAAATGGTCCAACTGGAGCTGTTGGTTTTGCTGGACCTCAGGTATAATTTTCAAATATACCCAATTTAAAAGTGTACATCTTCTGATAGCAATGAGTTTAGGTATCATTTCAATACGTTTTAAGAGCCCAAAGATTCTCAAAGCTTTACAGCTTCCTAGGCATTGTTTTCATCTGCAATACATTTTTTCATACATTAGCACTTGAACATTCAAGCTTATGTATTTGTTAAAATAAAAATACACTGGAATAGCTTCCAATGTTCAGACTTTCAAAGATCTCAGATTTTGTTTCCTTCTACTATAATCTAATGCTGATTATAAAACACGTTTTCACATTGTATGGCTAAGTGATTTAAAATAATCACTGTGAGATCATTTTGTATAAGACTCACCATGCACCGTCGTTTGTTCCATCTCATACAGGGTCCTGACGGCCAGCCTGGAGTGAAGGGTGAGCCTGGAGAGCCAGGACAGAAGGGAAATGCCGGGTCTCCTGGACCACAAGGGCTGGCAGGGTCCCCTGGTCCTCACGTAAGTGAGAAGAATAAAAGGGGTGGCTTGGCCAGTGCCCAGCGTGGAGTGTATGTGTAGTCTGCTTTGCTTTACTACAGCGTTTCTTTTTCACTTCTCTCTACTTAGGGCCCTATGGGTGTTCCTGGATTAAAAGGTGGTCGAGGAACCCAAGGTCCACCTGTAAGTTGGTTTGACACTCTGGAGGTTGTGCACACTAGGTTCAGTCGGCTAAGACTTTTTTTTTTTTTTTTTTCCTGTATTTAGGACAGGGTCCATAGGGTCTCACTATGTAGATCAGACTCATAGTAATTCTCCTGTTTTCAGCCTCCCAAGTCCTGGGATTACAGGCAAGCACCACCATGCCCAGTCTCAATCGCCACCTCAGCAGGCCCTGCAGGCAGTGCCGACATGGCATACTGGGCATTGAACCCAGATGTTGTGCTCTGCCTAAGCAGGTGCTTTAGTTCACTGAGCTATCAGGCTGGCTCTGCTAGGACTTTCTAGCCATGTAAAAGTTTACCTTTGCCTGAAATTATTATAGTGAATATATATATATATATATATATATATATATATATATATATCCATTATATTATAGAGCAAAATATATCAAACTATACCTAATTCAGATGGAGGTCTGGGCTCAAATCAGTTTCGTAGTGTTCATGAGCCAGATGCTTCATATATAACATGGATAATTGAAAGCATTTTATAGAATTCATTATATTAACTATTTATATACTCATAAACCTACTTACTTATGTTCAAGATAAATGAAAAATGGAAAAATAGAGCCTTTACCACTAATCTGTCTGGAATCTTTCTCAAAAATACTGGGTGCATGAGGAGAAAACGATAGGGCTGTCATGTGGAAGGGAATCTAAAGTCTTAAATTTTCTTGAGATGGGGGGATTGATAGATCTCTGAAACATACATATAATCAATTGCTATTATGTAAAAATTGCTTATACAGTATTATATTTCTAGGGTGCTACTGGGTTTCCTGGTTCTGCTGGTCGAGTTGGACCTCCAGGCCCCACCGTAAGTGAATCTAGTAATTCAACTCATCAGTAATTGCACACACACACACACACACACACACACACACACACACAGATATCATTTTTATTTCATTTAACCTCTTGTGGCTTGTTTTCTGGTTCTATAGTGTTTATTACAGTAATGCATACCAGTATTTCATCAAAAAACTTTGATCATCCAGGATATTTTTGAGGCAATGATTCGCACGTCCTGTTTATCTCTGGTGTTTGCAAATTACTCTATTTGGTGCTAAATACTATCACTAGTAGCTCTGGTACTAATGCTAGTCATCATTGTCTTCAGCTGGCAGGCTTCTCTGAAACAGTCTTTGATAACTCTCATTCTTTTATTGTGAGATCGGTTCAGAAGAGGCTAAATTTTCAAAAGAGGCTAAAAAATTTTACTCTCCCAGCTGGAACAGAGTTTTCAATAAATTTGAAAATTCAGGTTAATTTCACCACTATTAATAATGATTTGAAGGGCTGTCTGCAAATGATAATAGATTTTCTCCTGGGAAATGAATCTGCAGCTGTGTTTTCTGTTATTTAAATATATTAAATATATTTAATACATATATAATCTGCAGCTGTGTTTAAATATATTAAGTGACTGATTATCTATCAGGAAAAATGAACCTGCAAGTCTTGGCACCTGAGTCTGAGGCCGAGCTTGTTGTGTCACCCTTGCCTACTGGCTTCCCCTTTTCTCTTTTGAGTATTTCTTTCTGTGTCATACTAGGGAGCTCCAGGACCTGCAGGGCCCATAGGAGAGCCTGGGAAGGAGGGACCTCCAGGTCTTCGTGGTGACCCTGGATCTCATGGGCGAGTGGGAGATCGAGGACCAGCTGGCCCCCCTGGTGGCCCAGGAGACAAAGGAGACCCCGGAGAAGATGGGCAACCTGTGAGTTTGGCGGCTTAGTTGTAGACCATCCCCACTTACTTGCAACTCATAGCACATAAGAATCACCACCACAAAGAAACTATTTAAATGTCATTCCAGCAATTTCTGAATTCTTGATGTACATTATGTCCTATAGACATTTTATTAAATATTTCTGCTCTAGAAAAAAATATGAATAAATGTCTAAAAAAGAGGAATGGACACAATTTTAAAAAATTTCTTTGGTAAATGTCTGTGTCCAAAAATTTAAACACTTTTTATATTTGAATATTAATCTGATGCTTAAAATATTAGTGCTTTTAGATAGATGCTATTTATTTTCTTCATTTGAAATTCTTTTTCTTAGGTCAGAGCATCAGTTTGAGACCATCTCACTGGCAGCCCAGGCTGGCCTCAAACTTGCAACATAACTGCCTCAGCCTCCCAAGTACTTGGATGACAGCCAGGCACCCTTATGCCATAGTTGTTTAAATTTTTAAAAAGGAAGAAACTTATTTCTTTGCAAAATTAGCTCTTTATCCAGTCAATATTCACATTATTCTTCAAGCTCCTTTCAGACTCGTGAACTGTTTTCATCTCTACATAATTGTAAAAGCTCTATGTAGAGTATAATTTAGGACTGCTCTCACACAGTAGGGTTTTGTGAAACAGGTAGTCTTTTTCATGCCAAAAAAACCTGTCTGGCTGGAATCATTCTAAAATAATTTCCCTCAGATACAAATTTACTCTATGAAGTTTTTAATTAGAGTTTATTATCAACATTAGGGTCCAGATGGTCCCCCTGGTCCAGCTGGAACCACTGGGCAAAGAGGGATTGTTGGCATGCCCGGACAGCGAGGTGAGCGAGGCATGCCAGGCCTGCCAGGCCCCGCGGTAAGTAGCCATGTTGGTCAATACTGCTTCTGAATTATACAGTGTAATTGCAGAGAGATAATTGGTTTTCGCATGAGAGACAAATGTAAGCTGTCTTGAGCTAACATAAACCCTGAGTCCCTTAAAGTCCTTTTGATCTTAAATATCAAATCCTGAACTACCTTGCTAAGTCTTTGAAAAAATGTTTTTGTTTAACCCTAGGGCTAGAGAAATAGGCAAATACAATTTGGATGATTCCTAAATCTTTCATCAAAGACTAAGGAGATCCGTGGATCCAGACAGGGGTGCTGACCTCCTGGGGAGGAGGCGGTGTTTTTTTAAAACAAACATGAGTAACAAAAACATCCATGTTTCACAGTACACCATCAAAGGCAAGAAATAATTGAGCCCCAGTAATGTTAGAGGTGACTGGGTGAACTGTAAAGCACTTTGTAGGTAATCTCCTGTCCCCTGGGGGCATCCTGAAGAATCTCATGTTCTTTAGAGTTAGATGAAAGTTTGATTCAATATTAGCTTTGAACAGACTAAACTTTTACTATTGATCATTTGCAGTGAACAAGAAAAAAATGGAATCATGGTTTATTATACGAAATGTCAACAGATGTAACCTGAAATCTTGGAACTGAGATACCTGTGGGTGCAAGTCAGGATCAGCTCATTAAGAGCTACAAGGATATCTTCCTATTGTGAGAATCCGACTAGAAATCAAAACTTGAAATTCCTCAGTGGAGAGACTGCAGTCCTAGAATACAGAAATAGGAAGAGCAGACAAAATGAGAGTGAGAAAACCTGAGTGTATCCTGTCAGTGATGGAGATTCTGAGGGGTAGCTAGAACTGTCTGTATTCACCCCAACCCCGAATGGTTGCACACATAGTGCAAAAGATGCTTTGGGGCCTTTGATGTGTCAAGAGGAATGTGAGAAAAAGTGGCTATGCCTCTAAACAGGCATTACAGACTATTATGCGATAATGAACAATTACTGCAACAGAAGGCAGTACTTAGGTACCATGGGATTAAACATAGCCTTTAAGGGAAATGACATTCTTACATTTCTACACAAGGGGTTGACATATTCCTGCTTCAATTTCAGGGCACACCAGGAAAAGTAGGACCAACTGGTGCCACAGGAGACAAAGGTCCCCCTGGACCTGTGGGTCCCCCAGGTTCCAATGGGCCCGTGGGAGAAGCTGGCCCGGAAGTGAGTGCTGCAGTGACTAGAACTTTTGTGCTATCTGGGGATTGTGGGAACGATTCTTTCATTTAGAAATTGACTTAGAAATTGATAAGTTGATTATGTATGTGACCTTAGGAAGTTTTTGTAGTGGTGCTCTTTGGTATACTTAGCTCCCTAGAGAGTTGGCTAAATTGCAGAAGAGAGGAGTGGGAACAAAATCCGTGTCTTTGCACTGACCTTTGTCTGGTCTGGAGCTGACTCTTTCCGTTGATTTTGCTTTTGCCAAATTGTTTTCAAGGTAAAATGACACTCCCATTCATCTTCTCCCTTGTTATTATTTCATTCTCTAATGGGGCATTTATCAAATTTGCCAAGCTTCCTGGTGATAGGATTAATGTAACTATTATATCTCATAAGAAGGGCAAAGGCAAGTTGAGATCATTTTATCTAAATCTCACCATAAAGTCACATTATGAATGTCATGTTCCTTTAGGGTCTTTGAGAGGAAATTGGTTTTTGACAGGCAGTTTGAGAAGTTAAAGGTTAGACTGCCCTTTTCATGGCTCTTTGGTGTGTGTGTGTCACCCAGCTCTCATATCTTCTTGAAAGAAATAAGCAGTGACTTTCACAGCTGTTTCTTATCAAATAATAAACACATAGTTCTGAAGTAATCCAAATATGGAGAGAAGACTATATTTAAAGCAGTAATTTAATATCCTCTAAATGTAGCTATATGATTTCAAAACCTCGAGAACATTAGTTGGATAAAGTCAAGAAATAAAGGTGAAAAAATGCGTTCATTTATAGTGCAAAAAGTTAGCAAGAATGTAACTGTTGTACATTTAAAGAAATTTGAGGATTGTTTTTTTCAAAATAAGAGGCTGGAGTGAACAGTTTCGAATATGATAGTTTTACAAGCCATTCCAAATGATAAAATGTTAGATTTTTTCCAAGTGAGGTTTACCTAAGTGCTAATTAATGCTGACACCTTTCTGACCATTGAATTGAGACTTGTCCATTGCTAAGTAAAGTTGTTTTTCCAATCTTATTCTCTCTAGGGCCCGGCTGGGAATGACGGCACTCCAGGACGGGACGGTGCAGTTGGGGAACGGGTAAGAACACTGCCACCAGTTTAAAAATCTAGATGCACATAGATCTGAAATATTTGTAATGCTAGTATTACACTAAAAAACTACATTTCATTTTCCAGCTCCAATACAGCTCTGATTTTTAAAAAATAGTAATAAATCTTTCTGTAGCATCATAATTTTGCAAAATCTTGTAAACGAAATGACAATTGAATGCATACCAAGGTAACTTGGTATTTTTAAAATTAAGATCAGCATGACAAATTGCTCTCATCTTTAATGCAATATAAAGGCTTTGGGTGAGGATACATTTGGTGAACCCCAATCTCACTTTTAAAAAATACAAAAGATGAAATAGAGCTGTGTGACACAAATTCTCTACCTCCTCTTTGAAATGAATGCCTGCTGAGGATATGATCATCATACACTTCATGAAGAATTTTGAAATTAGACCTGTGCCAAACCGCAAGCCCTCCCAACTTTGTCTGAGCTTCAGTCCCTGTGAAAGCTGTACAACACCAGGCTGAGGAGGGCAGGTGCCCTCCTTAGTCCATGATCTCCCATGATGCAGCACTTCTCCCCTCCCCTCTCCTCATGGCAGAATGCACTGCGGAGCCAGCAGACCTGAGTTAGCACAGTGACTCCTTGAGTAACTACTTATGTGATCTTCAGCAAATTTTCTGAACCTGTTTTTTAAACAGCTGAAATATGATTAATAGCTATACCATTGGGCATTTCTATGTTAAGTAACATGCTTTAAAAATATTTGTGGGTGGATACTCTGGAACACTCAGGGTGGAAAAATATGAAAGAGACTTGGAAGAACCTTGGAACTTCAGGGTCTGCAAAGTCTCAGCCTTGGGATTTTACACCTTTATGTAGATACTGTGTAGGGTAGTAGTCTTCACAGGTTTTGTTGATGTACTTGCTAAAATGATCTTGAAAATCTATGAATCCTATGCACACTTTATGTTGCTGTCTCATTTGTTTTTAAAAACATTATAAGTTTAGAGGCTTAGTTGCAGTGGAAATAGTTCTGAGTAAATGTATATGTGCTTTAAGTATATTTGCTTAACAAACCTTGGAGTTGTCAGTTTAACTTCTTCATTTTTTTGTGTCTGTTTTTTAACCTAACTGCCAAAGTTCATCCTGATTACCAACTGAATCAGTCCTATAAGACTTAGTTTGTGTCAGAAAATAAAATCTGTTTATTCTTCTCTTGTCTCCGCCCTCTCCTTCCCTCTCCCCTCTTCTCCTTCGCCTCCTGTTATTCAAACTCAGGACTTTGTGCATGCCAGAGAAAATAAAGCCTGGCACTATTTTTCAAGCCAAATAATTATGTTCACATAATTTTTTCACTTTTGACTTTTTACAAAGGTAATATTTGGAGCTTGGTCATAATTTGCTCATCAGGTTGAAAACAAGAGTGGCCTCTTCCTTTCATAGAGTCCTCCTAGGATTATCCCAAGGGCATTCAAGAAGTGTTTCTTTTTTTGGTGACTGAAAGTATTTACTCTTTAGTACTTAGAAATATTTACCTAATGATTGCTTGATATGACCTACTTTTCATCTCAACATGAGAGAAGAATGACTATTAAAGAGGGAATGGGGAAAGACTGCTCCAAGACTAGTTTTCTGAAAGAACACATGCAGAGTTGAAAACCTGGAGTTTGGTTTCCTTAAAAGTCTCCCTGTTTTCACACTCTGGAAAGACTATGCCTTCCAGGCACCCAGACACTCACCTTGTGCCTGCTGGTTGGAGAAAGATGGCAAAGCCTGGAATTGAACTTCCTACACCCCAAAAGCTTTGGCTCTGTGAGCAGCAAGGTGGGGGAGAGGAGAAGGAGGAGGTTGGACATTTAAGAGAGTCTTACGTCCTTCAGTTTGATTAATTAGTAAATTTAGGTAAGTTTTGTAAAGTAGTACATAAAATTGTTTTAGAAGGCCTACTTTTTATCTTGTGAGTATTATAGAGAGGATGCCTTCTCCTTGCAATAAATGTTAGAGAATAATACTGTGGCTCTTCTCATCAGGGTGATCGCGGAGACCCTGGGCCGGCAGGTCTACCAGGCTCTTCCGGTGCCCCTGGGACTCCTGGCCCAGTGGGTGCACCAGGAGACGCGGGGCAGAGAGGAGATCCGGTAAGAGGGGAGTCGGTTGTGGGCACTGCCACCCTGTGCACTTGGGTAAAGACTAGACGAAGAATGATCAACAGCCAAAGACGAGCTAATATATATATGTATAACATTTTATTCATATATACATATATACTAGTCTTAAAATATATTTGGTTTTGAATATCAATTTAAAGATCCTAATGTGCTGATTTCCATTATCTAAAATGTAACAATTTAGAAGAAATGTAATAAATACGCATCAAATCAATCAAGTAGTGTCTTTTTATCATCAATAAAAGTCTTCATTTAGTGAAGCCAGTAGCTAAGACTGACTTTAAAATTATTATTTGCATTAGCACATTCTTACCTACATATAGATATTTATCAGATTTCACTGATTTATAAGACTATATGGAGAGATACACACACATGCATGCGTGCATACATACGTGCACAGAAGTATCCGACCTCAGGCACATGTTTCCTTACATACTTTACCTGGCATGTGCATATTCTTTTTTACATGCCCTCTTACATGAAACTTTTTTCTAGGGTTCTCGAGGTCCTATGGGACCACCTGGCCGAGCTGGAAAACGTGGTTTGCCAGTAAGTATTTTTTTTTAACAAATATATATTTCTTACATGAAATGTACTTGCAAAAAAAGAAATATGATTTACAGTGCAAAAGGGGGATGGGGCAAAGAATCAATGAATACTAGATTATATTTAGAAGCAAGACTTTCTAGTGCAGACTCTAGAGTAGGAATTTGCTATACATTTCCAGAAGCCAGGAGAATGGATTTCGATAGTTTTCACCACAACACAATAAGAATTGAGAAGGTAGAATCATTTGAACTAATTTAATCAATGTAAAATACATATGTATATCGAAACATCATACATTACCTTACTAGTGAAGACTTTCAGGGTCACATTTATCTTTAAAAGAATGAGGATAACAGTGCATTACTCTCAGAGCTGTCCTACAAATTACAAAAGCGTGATTCAAGTCTGAGGTTTTCATTTTTAACCAGGCCTTTTTTTTTTTTTTTTTGCCTATCTTTTGTTCTTTTTGCTCTTTGCAGTCACTTCCAGATTATTTGTTACTCTTCATATGTCTCAGTATTTTATCTTTATCCCTTCTGAGGAATCCAATGGATCATGTTCCTCACATCTATAAATCAATGTCTGTGTTCTTGAGGAACAATTACACTCTTAACGCCCTGGTCATATTATAAAATCATTATTCTCTGCTTTGATTTGAGCATGACTTGCAAAGATTTCATAGTTGCATAGCATGTTAAGTGGAAGATTTTTCTAGCCAGTTATAGAAATAATGTAGTTTTCTTTATTAACAAGTGAACTTTAGTTGATAATTTTAGTAGATGTTTTCTTGTTTAGTTTATTTTTAATTGTGAAATTTTGGAGCTTCCTCAAAATTAATGAACCTTTAATATATTATGAAAATATTCAAGTTGATTTTGATGTTTAAATTAACATTGCTATATAGGGCAGGCCAAAAAGCTCAGCAGACTAAAGCAGCTGTAAGCAGGCACAGGGGCCGGAGGTTTGATTCCCCGGCTTACTGTGCAGGCCCTGACCCCTGCTGAGAGAGCAATTGAGACTAGGTGTGGTGGTGTGCTTGTAATCCCAGCTCTTGGGAGGCTGTAAACAGGAGAATCACTACGAGTCTGACCTAGTAATGAGACCCTGAACACGCTGTAGACCCTTCCCTAAAATACAAAAAAAAAAAAAAAAAGGAAAAGAAAATTACTTAAAAAAATAAATTTACATTGCTATACAGACATGTAAATATGAGCCAAATGGAGAGGTGCATGGCCCTCATTCCAGCACTTGGGAGGCTGAGGCAGGAGCCCAGCCTGGGCCACATACTGAGAACCTGACTGAAAATTTAAAAAAAAGAAAAAAAAATAAAGAAATGATTACCAGAATATAGTTTTATTTTTTATTATTAAAAAGATTCTAGGAGCTGGGAAGATAGCTCAGTGGTCTAAGTGCCCGCCTGGCAAGTGCAAGGACCTGGGTTTGATGCCTGGTACCTCACGCAGTGCTGGTCTGGAACTGCAAGTGCGTGGTGCTCACCACCGAGACCAGCTGTGGTGGTACACACTTGTACTCCTAGTGCTGGGGAGGCTGAGATAGGAGGATCACTATGAGTATGAGCTGCATGGGGAGACCCTGTACTAGATTCTACAATATATGCCAATTAAGAAAGACTAAATTTATAAGTCAAAATAGCAAACCTGCACCAAAAAGGGCAAGCTTAACCCAAGAGCCAGTGGACTTGGTTATGTCCATCTTCCAAAGCAAGGTTAACAGGGTTCCAAGTTGCTTTTAGGTGAGCTCTACAGACAGTGGGAGCTGCCCTGTAGTGGGCGGCCCTGTGCCATTGGTGGATTTGCTGTGAACTGCTGAACCCCTGAAGCTGTCCTGATTCTCTTGGACCTAAAACTAAACACAAGGAACAAACAAATAATCCATGTAGCATGGCTGAGATTGGTCAGCTGGTTTTCACCTGCAGTATCTATTCCAAAGTAAAATTCTTCCTTGTGGCTTTTTCTCTAGTGTCCAGGGACTAGGGCCACTGCACCTGTGCACAGAGAGATAAGGCAGATTCGATGAAGGTGACCAAGGTCTCCTTTGCTTCTCCTTCGGATGAGGACAGTGTAGTGATAATGTTCTGATTTCATTTGCTTGAATTCTTGCCTACTTCTTAGCATAGTCCTGGCTATCATATCTGACTAGGTCATCTGCATTTACAAATTTAATACACGTTTCATTTATAGAAGAAGCAAAATAAGTTAACAAAAGTACTTTTCTATTTTAATTTCAAAGAATCTATAGAAATAATGCTTTTATGTAATTATATCAGTTAACTATATCAGATATAATTTTTAAATACCTTACTGATAGGTTACATGAAACTAAAAAAAAAAACCCTTCTTTTTAATATAAATGTATGAGAAATATTCATTGTTTGCCTACTGTTCCTTAGGAAAAACTGACAAAAATTCCTAGGTATATATTTATCTAAAGGTATTTATGTAAGTGAATGTGTTCATCCATACAAAATACAACATTCAAAATTAAAGATGTAAATGGTTCAATTGTATTATATTTTAATGTCAAGAAGTAAGAATATCTGTGCCTTAACTCTGCTTCCAGGGCCCTCAAGGACCTCGGGGGGACAAAGGTGACAATGGAGACAGAGGTGACCGAGGTCAGAAGGGCCATAGAGGCTTCACTGGTCTTCAGGGTCTTCCCGGGCCTCCTGTAAGTTGTCGCTCTAAGAGGATTCTTCTCTTCATGTGAATATGCACAGGCTCCTTGACAAGAATGCTTTTCTGTTCATACAATACGTGGATGTTTTGTATTTCAATTTCAAAATTTTATGGATGAGTACTAATTACCCAGTTACCAAGTAGCGACACCCTAATAGATGTTGTAATTTTGTGGGGAAGAAATAAAGCAAAAAGTGACATCTGTATTCCTACAGGGACCTTAGTGTTGGTGAACTCACGAGATTGCAGAGTGGTGACTTGGTAGTTTGTGATGCTAACGCCAGTGCCAGGATATTTTCAATACTTGACAGTGGCACAGTCTAAGAAGAAATGAATATTTTAGTGACATTTAAACTTTGATTCCCCCTTAGGGTCCAAACGGTGAGCAAGGCAGTCCCGGAATCCCTGGTCCATTTGGTCCAAGAGTAAGTAACGAGAAGGAATGTTACAGATGTAAATAATAATGATGCCTTTGGTGGCATAATGCTGATGCTTGGGTCTTGTGTGTGTGTGTGTGTGTGTGTGTGGTACTGAAGCTGGAGCTGGTTCATGTTCTCTGAATTAGACAGCAAATTATGAGACAAACCATTCAGCTATTAATTTCAATTTCTTGAAATACAGGCCCACAGTAAAATCCCTTACCTAGGGTTGGTGTGTATTTATCTGTTTATTTTCTCATTTTAGACCAATTGAATTTTCCCTAACATTTTTACTCATTTTTGATGTAATTAGAACTACTCTTGAAGTGGAGACAGATTTTTGAAGCTGGATATATTTTGTCTTTTTAAGCAATTGTGATTATTTCTCAGAATACTTTCTACCAGGCTAATTTGGAAGTGAATATCCAGATGAAGCTAATTTTTGAAGCTTTTAGAAATTATACATTTATATCAATGCTGTCTCTAGCATGTCATAAGAAATTGACCCACCCATATAACTATTTAGGAAAATAGAAAAAGGGAACCCAGAAACAAAGAAAAATCAATTAGAAAAATTTCTTCCATATATAAATACAGAATAAGGAAACCATACATTAAATTGAGAATAATAGTAATGAGGATAACCATGAGAAGATGAAATTCTATAGTATAAGAACCCACAATTTATTTATTATAATAAATCTTATAGATATAATATGATAAAATTTATTGTAATAAATACTCCATCTTCTCTCATTTCTGTATTCTAAATTAATTTAATTTTCAACTAAGTTTACTTGAAATTGAACAGAAGAATTAATACCAATAGAAGTAAGTGCTTAGTCTATGAAGGTCATTCACTTGTTATCATCTTCTGCCATGCAAGGATCAGGAACAGTTCCTGTGTGATAAAACTGCACTGTGACAAAGTGACAGAAGACCATTTATTAGGCGTTAAGAAAATGAATACAATAAATCTTTGCAATAGCTCCATTCTTACAACAGTTCTTTAATTAGAGAGAAGCATTCTAAACTTTTTTTCTTCACAGCATCTAAAACTCAGTCTTTGTTTTCTTTTAGGGTCCTCCAGGCCCAGTTGGCCCATCAGGAAAAGAAGGAAACCCTGGTCCACTTGGGCCGATCGGGCCTCCCGGTGTGCGCGGCAGCGTAGGAGAAGCAGGTCCGGAGGTAAAGCCCCAGGGTCTGCATGCAGGCCACACTGTCCATGTCAGTAGTGTGGATTCCAGCCAGCGAAGTCTGTGAGGCCAATGGACGGAGACTGAAGGGGCCCTGAAATCACACCCAGAATGCACACAAGAGAATGCGTACATGAGTTTCTTTCTTGGGCACTATTTTAAATGTCTGTCAAATGCCAGTTATTCATAAAATCTTTATGAAAATATTGGCAAATGAAGTATATGACATTGAAGTTCTTCCTTTCTCAAAATGGTACTCAGGAGATTTCAGTGAAAATATTTTATTAAAAAATTCTAATAACTCTGACTTGAGGATAAAAACTTGGAAAGTGTCATGTGTCTTCCACGTAAGTGCGTAGTAATACTCATGCGCTCATCTGGGAAACTGTACTTTCTTCTTGGTTGTACTTTCTTCTTATTTACTTTTCCCTCATTTTTTTTTTTTTTGCAATACCATCAGACAAAATGTTCATTATTTTCACTGTGGGTTAAGTAGGCTTACATGTCATATGGCTTACATTTTTCTACGAACACAGAACAAATTCTGAATTAGAATACCTTGAGTTCTGTGGCTTTGTATTAACTTCGTGTTGGTGGTTTAGTGATTTTTGGTATATAAAATATCTTTCTCCTTGAGATTAGAATGCATAGAATCATGACAACCTTGGAGAAAAATAATCTAGATATCCTTATATTCATATTTCTATGTATCCAGATAGCCATATATCTATAGGATCATACTTCCATATATTTATATAGCCATACATCTGTTTATCTATAGATCTCTACATAAGCAAGTATCATGTGATTGACTTTTATTTATCTCAGATTCTGACATGCAATATGTAGACTGAGAAACAGGCAGCCCTTAGCGCTGGTGGGAGATAGCATGGTAATCAGCTCTCTCTGTTTGCTGGAGGGAATGTCACTCTTCTGAGACCATTGAATTGGAATGTCCCTTTGTAAATTCCCTGTGCACTTCATCCCAGACCAGTTTGGGAAAACAAAACTAAAACTAGTGTGTGAAATACTGTTCTCATTTCTTAATCAGGGTCCTCCTGGTGAGCCTGGCCCACCTGGCCCTCCGGGTCCCCCTGGTCATCTTACGGCTGCTCTTGGGGACATCATGGGCCACTATGATGAGAGCATGCCAGATCCACTTCCAGAGTTTACTGAAGATCAGGCTGCTCCTGATGACAAAAATAAAACTGACCCAGGAGTCCATGCTACCCTGAAGTCGCTCAGCAGTCAGATCGAAACCATGCGCAGCCCTGATGGCTCCAGGAAGCACCCGGCCCGGACTTGTGATGACTTGAAGCTTTGCCACTCGGCCAAACAGAACGGTGAGTGTAGCTGGCCCAGGGCAGAGTGCACCTCTGATAGTGGTATTCTCAACTCACACAAAAAGTGTTTGATTAGCTCTCTAATTAGTAAGAGATGGAATGATAAGCATGCCCCAGAGCTTCTCGTTTGGTGGTGAAGACCTCGAAGAATGGCATGAACTGTGATAGAGGAGATACACTTCTGATAGTCTAAAATTTCATGGTAGTATTTCCATTTCCATTAGGAACTCCTACATTTAAATTAGTAGTAAATTTTGTGAAGTAGAAGCAATCTATCTGTATATATCTGTATCTGTATTTATCTCTATATCTCTGTTTATATCTGCTTAAACCTATTTATTTACCTCTCAGTTTTAATGTGGTAATATAAACTGTTGGATCACTGAGAGAAAAAGAAAGCACATATTATTTCCCAAATTTGTTTGAATATGTAATTCTTTTCATACAGCTTAATATTCCAAGAATCACACTATTAGAACCTGTCCTGGCAGGACCCTGTTACAGTGAGGTCCAAAGACATTTTGACATGCAATAATGATCCTGTTCTAGTTGCATAAGTGTCTCAGTTAGTTTTTACTCATTGCTGGGACAAAATACCCAAAACCCAAAATTAAAGACGGAAAAGTTTATTTAGCTCACAGATAGTGGAGGTTTCAGTTCATACTCGTCTGGCTCCAAGGCAGAGTACCACAAAGCAGAAGACAGAAGTTCATGGTAGTAGAAAACAGGAAAGAGCAGAGGAAGGAGCAGCAGGTGTCCCATCTATCAAGCCTCTCTCCCTTCCTTCTATGCTGGCTGTGAAGACCAGAGCTCCTCAAGGAAGTGGCAGGGGCTGTTAAGATCATCCTGCCCTGAGGAAGTGACCTGTGGAATCCTTCCATAACCCATTTGTTTACCCTATTTGTGCTGAGTCACTCTAAGGCAGGCCCTCCCTGTCCTAGTGGAGAGCTCCCCAGGCCCAAGAGCTTGGAATCACTGAGCAGATACATCCAAGCTTTCAACTTCCCAAGTTGACACAATGCATCAACCACTACAATAAGCGTGCTTAAAAAAAAGTTATCATCTTTTTTATATATAATTTTATTGAGAAACAAATAGCAATGAGACAGTTTCAAAACTGATTAGTAGGGCAGTTTCAATAATTAATATATTGCATATTGTTGTCTTCTTATGGGTTATTCATAGTACAAGATCCTGACATGATATCTTGTCCACAAACACTATTAGTTACTGCCATACTCTCTCTCAAGTAAACTTTGTTTTTTAAAAAAAGGTAATATTTAGATTCTCATCTTGATTGTCCTGGTAATGCCTAGAGAACAGAGATCCTTGACCACGGAAATAAGCTGTGGAATGATTAAACATCTCAATTAACTTTGGAATGACCACTGACAAGGACAGCTAAAATGTTTTCTTTGTAGAATGGGCAATGTTATTCTCAACTCTACTTTACATCCTCTTTTATTTTATTTTACTTGCAACTCATGTTTTCATAAATATGTATCCATAAATTTGTATTTTTATGTATATTTATTTTATCATATCTAGTACCTCAAATGGTTGTGGTCTATGTTATCTCAAAACTTGTTTCAAAACTCTCCTTTGTGTGTGAAGATTAATTTCACAGAGGGCTAATGATTTTATCCATAGTATCCTAAGTGCAATTTGACTCATATACTCACTTTACTCATAATTTTGATAATACGTTACTACTATTTTTTTTTCAAATACTGATTTCAGAAATTAATGGGAATACATCTATCTTGGCAAAATCACTTACAGTGATTATCCATTTTTGATACTTTTTTCCGATAAAATGGGAGAAGAGATTTATTTCACATAGATGTTTTGAGCCTTAGATCTGTTTGATGCAGTGCCCTGGAACCACAATTAGCATGTAGAAAGGCCCTACCCATGTGTCCTTAATTACTAAGTCTGTATTTTTCAAATCCTGTGTTAATTAATTTGGGACCTCAGGAACATCTTTGAGATTCTTTTCACTTAGAAAGTGTTTCTATTTTGATAAATAGGTGAATACTGGATCGATCCTAACCAGGGATCAGCCGAAGATGCGATCAAAGTTTACTGCAATATGGAAACAGGAGAAACATGCATTTCAGCAAACCCATCTACGATCCCGCTTAAAACTTGGTGGGCCAGCAAATCTCCTGACAATAAACCTGTATGGTATGGCCTTGACATGAATAGAGGATCTCAGGTAACTTAATATGACTACTTAGTTGTAACCTTTGCTTTCGTTATTTATGAGCTCCTATTTATTTATTTATTTATTATGTATATTATGTATTTAGGACAGGGTCTACAGGGTCTCACTACGTAGATTTGACTCATAGCGATCCTCCTGTTTTCACCTCCCAAGGATTACAGATGTGCACCACCACGCCCAGTCTCAATCTCTGTTTTAGCACACCCTGGGGTGGGGCTGGCACAGCACACCAGGGATTGAACCCCAGCCACTGCACTCTGCCTAAGCAGGTGCTTTAGTCTGCGGAGCCATCTGGCCAGCCCTCTTTGTATTTATTTAGCAGTATGATATGCTGCTATTTCTTGCCATGATTGTTTTTCAGTGATACATTCTCAGTAACAACTACAATAGAGATGCAGAACACATTTTACCATGAGACAAATTGAAATGAAATTTGCGTTATGATTTTTTTGGGTGGAATATTTTTAATATGAATTCATCTAGTGCATTTGACACTGACTGGGAAGTGGTCTTGCCTCAGTTGAAAGATGGTCACTATTTTTAGCTTCAGGAGTTGGTGCTCACGCTTAGCTGCAGTTCTTCCTGATGTTGGGCTCTCTGAAGTGATAGAACTTTCCAGAGCCTTAGGGTTGACAGCTTGCACAGAGAGTGGCAGTGTGGATTCCACGGGCTGTGTGAATCTGAATGCTCAGCGTGGTGTCTTGTACAGGACAAGTGATAAATGTCGTGTCATTCAACACTGAAATCATTTTGTGAATGTTGCAGTATTAAACTTAAAGTATGTTGTAATTATATAAATTTTATTAATATTCTGAGTTCCAATGTGCTCTGTTTCTTTTTTTATTGATTTCTTTTATTAATTTTATTGAGAAATAAATAACAATGAGAGTTTCAAAATAGGTTAGTAGGATAGTTACAATAATTAATACACTGCATATTGTTGTCTTCGTAGTAGTTATTCATGGTACAAGATGCAGACATGATATCCTGTTTTAAATATTATTAGTACAAATCTTTCTTCTCATTGAATTAAGAGAAAGTAGATGTATATCTTTCCTAACTATTTTGTATATACAGATATAAAATGGTCCTTCATTTGTATCCCCTTTTTTTTGTTTAGTTTTGTCAAAAATGGATATTGCATTGCCATTTAAATATTGTAGGTGTGTGAATTCAGCAAAATAATCCAATATAATCCAGTAGTCCATAATAGTAGTGGGTTATCCATAGGACTGGTAATGCCAGAAGTTGTTGATTGCCAGAAGTTGTTGGTACTGCCAACAACTTCTGGCATGTTTCTTACACAATCCAGGGTTCAGAGCCTCATCTGGTGTTGCTGCGTCCTACTGTAACATGAATAAGTCATCCCCGATCTCACTATGCCAGCCTTTCTCCAATATTTTCTTCTGATCTCTGCTCTTAACCTTTCCCAGAATCCACTCAGAATAAACAAGATGTAAAACACCACGGGTGTGTGCAAGATATGCCAGACTCTACCCTTAGTTAATGAACAAGAAATTCTTAAACGTAAATTTAAGCAATGGAAATGTGGCTTCCTATGTTGTGTAAAACCTCAAATATTAGCACTGAAAATGAAACATAAATTATGAAATGAAAAAGAGCCCGTGGGAAATTATTTTTGATAATTTTGGGTTGCCAAATGGAAAAATTTAATTTGTATTTCCTGCAAGTAAAGAACAGCTCGGTAAAAAAAAAAAAATTATTCCAACAGTTAATGCTCAATGCTTATTACACTTAGCTGTAAAACTAATGAGTTTTTTTTTTATATGATTAAGATATATTCTAAAATATTTAACCTTTCTCTGGAAAATTATGATTATTAATCAGCTTCTTTTCTTTGACATACTAAAGACAGATGTAAGCATACATGGAAATATTAATATATTCTATGTGTATAGAGTAGCTTACTATATGACAAGAATTAAGGTAACATACTTCAAAAATGATTTATCTAAAATTAATTAATTTAATTAATGCATTAGGAAATCCTTCAGTATTGTGTTTTGTTTTTCTTTTAGTTCAGTTACGGAGATTACCAGTCTCCTAATACTGCTATTACCCAGATGACCTTCTTGCGCCTCTTATCGAAGGAAGCATCTCAGAATATTACTTACATCTGTAAAAACAGTGTAGGCTACATGGATGACGAGACCAGCAGCGTCAAGAAGGCCGTGGTGCTCAAAGGAGCAAATGACCTGGCAATCAAGGGGGACGGGAACCTGAGATTCAGATACACAGTCCTCCAAGATACTTGCTCTGTGCGTACTTTCTATCTCATTTACTTATTTTTATATTAATTTTATTGAGAAAGAAGTAGCAATGAGACAGTTTCAAAACAGGTTAGTAGGAGAGTTACAATAATTAATACATTCTATATTGTTGTCTTTGTAGTTATTCATAGTACATGATGCAGACATGGTATCTTGTCTAAACACTGTTAGTTCAAAACTTTCTTCTCACTGAACAAGAGAAAGTAGCTGTATACCTATGCGAACTATTTTGTATATACAGATATGATTATATTTTTTCACTACAAAATGGTCCTTCATTTGTAGCCCCCTTTTTTGTTTAGTTTTGTCAGAGATGGGTATTCCATTGCCATTCATATACTGTAGGTACATGAATTCAGCAAAATATTCCAAAATAGTCCAGTAGTCTATAATAGTAGTGGGTTATCTGCATGACAGGCAACGTAAGAAGTTGTTGACTTGAGCCTTTCACAGCTCAGCGTATTAATATGGCTTTACTTTTTATACCTCATTTTTATACTTTTCTGTTAGATGATTAAGACTAAGATAAAGGAAGACCTATATAACAAAAAATGTAACTTTTGTATCTAACAAGGTCAGTCAAATCCCCTCAGGATTTACACTGAAACCCTGTACAGCAGTTTATAGATCCTTTGTCAGCGTCAGCCATATGGATGAATCACAGCCATTGCTTGACCAATTTGCTCTCTGTGAGAGCTTGAGAGAATGTTTTCTCTCCATGTGACTCTCCTTAGGCACACTCTACATCATGGATCATTTTCCTCTGTGGCTCCATAATCCCCTTGATCAGAAAATTTGGGACACCACTGAGTTGCAGGATGTTACAGTACAGGTTCTCCTATGTCCTGAGTCCTCACTGACCTTGAAGGGCTAGGGCCACAATGTTGGCTGTCTTTGCAGCCCTTCTTTTTCTCTAATTTTTTGGTCTGCAAACTTAAAAGTGAGAGACACAGTACTTCTTAAGTTATTTATTATCTGCTTTTTTATTTTTGAAAGAAGAAAATCTGTTAAAAATACTAGCATGGCATTGGAAGTCAGAACAAATTCATCTCATGTGTAGATACACCAACATTTTGTGCACAATTGTTCTTCAGGTAAACTTGAACGTGTATTAGGACATGAGGTGCGGCAGAAGTATTAACATGGGAAAGAGGGAACTGGGTCCCTAGGATTAGATCTTGCTTGTTTGCAGCTCTCTTTGGTTCTTCTGTAAGGTATTTAGCTATTAACAAAATATCTGGATTCTAAAATGTGCAGTCAAGTTGATTTGCATGTCTTTAAAATGGCGTACTCAGATAAAAGACAAGGAAAAATGTGGGATGATGGATTATAATCTCATTTGTAAAACATTTGGTACAGGATCTCACTATGCATCTTGGACTCATAGTGATCCTTCTGTCTCACCTCCCACCCCCAAGCGCTGGGATTGCAGATGTGTTCCATTATACGTCTTGGTGTTAGGCTCGACACAGGGCTGGCAAGGCATGTGGTGCTGGGGATCGAACCCCAGGCCTTGTGTTTTCCCAGTTTAGATTGCTGAGCTAGATCCACAACCCTATAATGTTATGCTTATGAACAAAAAGTTCTTTCATAATTTATGATGTGACTATTTGAGCAAGGAATTTACTTAGAAAAAGAACCTTCTATGCGTCTTGGTGCTTTGAGTGCTCTGACTTTTAAGTAGTGCTCTTTGCTTCTAAATTATAAAAATTAGCTGGATACATTGTCATCTCACCTCATTGGGAAAGTCTGAATAGACTCTTCATCTATTGCGTCATTTAATTTCAGAAACGAAATGGAAATGTGGGCAAGACTGTCTTGGAATACAGAACACAGAACGTGGCACGCTTGCCCATCATAGATATCGCCCCCGTGGATATTGGCAGCCCAGACCAGGAATTTGGCGTGGAACTGGGGCCAGTTTGCTTCATGTAACGCAAACCCAGAGAGACCGGCAGCACGCACCACCTGAACGACAACCAGCGCCCTTCATGAGAACCTTTGACTGTTTGAAGTTGATCCTGAGACTCTTGAAGTAATGGCTGATTCCACATCAGCACTGTACATATGATCTTACGTGCCTGGCCTCCTTACCCTTCAGAATATTTATTTTACTGACACTTCTCAAGTTTTAATTGACCTAAAATATTTTTCAATACAAAAGTTTAGGTTTAAGACAACCAGTGACAGTGATCACCTTTTACAAAAAGTAAACTGATGAAATAAATAAAACTCTGTTTTCTTCAATTTATTTCAATGCAATGAAAAAAATGCTTAGTATTTATGAAGAAATTCGTCTTCCTGGCAGATAGCTTAAAGAGTGGGGTATATGAAACCACAACGCATGTTTATTTTGCTTGGCTGAGGTTTAAAAAATAGAAAGTAGAGCCCTTTTGTGACCTCTTATTCCCAGATTAGTAGTGAAAAATAAAAATGTTTAACCTCGTAATTGAAACCCACATCCACATCTTGATATTGTATAACTATTACAGGGAATTTTTAATTTAAAAATAATGCCAGTTTTTCACTGCCTTACATAGAGTTTTTAAATAGTATATACTCAGTGGAACTTCAGGAGAAAAAAGTAAAAATGCTCCACCTCAAATTTTTGTAAAGGCTGATATGTTTAGACTGATTTCATATTCAATTTTCACAGTGCCTTTTCCTTTTGATGCATTCTGTGAATACGGAGAGATGTATAGCATTTAATGCATTTGTATTTTCTTACCCAAGAAGACATTGAGCAAAATAATTGCATATATGTCTATGAACACATCGTTGGGTCCCATAGTTGGGACTCTTTCACATGTACATTCTCATCCTGAAGCCTATAATGAAGAAAAATATGTAGAAACCCAGAGTTGTGAAGTTGTCGCTCATCAAATGTGAGGATTGGGATTAGAACATTTGGCCTTTGAACTCGCATAGACAAAATGGCCCAACATTTCTTAGCATGAGCTACCTCATCTCTAGAAGCTGGGATGGACTTACTCTTCTTGTTTATATTTTAGATACTGAAAGGTGCTATGCTTCTGTTGTTATTCCAAGACTGGAGATAGGCAGGGCTGAAAATTATTATTATAATTATGATGATATCCTTTAATGTTGGTGCTGAAATTCTTTCTTTACAATTTTTTTTAAATAAAGACTGTTTCATCAATGACATTTGTGAAGATGTACCTGTTAGACTTCCCTTCCCCAAAAGGTAGAGTGGTGTCCCAGTGCCTTTCTCTGCTCTGCTGTCATACTGTACCCGCTGTGCTTTGTAATGCTTTCATGTTTCTGAGACCAGAGCACGCAGGTCCCCTCATGTCTCAAGAGATTTTTTTTTTCCTTCATTGCATCTGTTGGCTCCATTTTAATTTCTTATTTAAAAATAAACAGGGGGAAGCCCAAGGACAAGCCATGCACAGAACTTTGGCCATGTATCTCTGCAAAGCATCAAATTAAATGCACGCATTTATCATGTCAGTGGTTTTTTTTTTGTTTTGTTTTGTTTTTTGGAATTTATTTGAACATATTAGCTCTATTTCATTCTCAACAGTGGCAAGTAAGGTGTTGGTATTCTTTGCCATTTGTTTGAAAGATACAACAAATGCTTTTCATCATGTGTACATTGCCTTATAAGTGAAAATCTACCCGTGCTATTCCCCAGAAAGACAGTGTGACAGTTATCACAGTCTCCAAAAATATCAGAGTAGTAGTACTGATATAAAGGAAAACACAGATTTTTTATGTTTGCATAAATTTATAATAAAATATATCAATATTGTCACATATGAATTTAGTTTAAATATTTTCACGGTTCATATTCAATGCTTATTTCAGGCAAATTTTTTTCACAAATTCATTATTATTTGAGCAATATGTGTTTGATTCCAATATTTATATAGCTAAAGAGATTTATGAGTTTTGTTGATATTTTTTCAAGTTCAACCTACATAGGTTGCATAACTTCAGATGAGTGGTCAAAAATGTGTGGTTATTCTATTAAGAAAAAGCTAACAAGGGCCAGCCACATAGCTCAGAGGACTAAAATGCCTGCTTAGGCGGAGTGCAGCAGCCAGGTTCGGTCCCCGGCGTGTCATGCCAGCCCTACTCCTGGGGCATGCTGAGACGGTGATTGAGACTGGGCGTGGTGGCACACCCCTATAAACCTGGCACTTGGGAGGCTGAGAACAGGAGAATCATTATGAGTCCAATCTACATAGGGAGACCCTGTAGATCCTGTAGATCTTGTACTAAATTAAAAAAAAAAAGCAAGCAAGCAAACAAAAAGAAAGAAAAAAAGAAAAAACTAACAATTTTCCAGGCCTGGTGGCACATACCTGCAATCCCAGTATGTGGGAGGTTGAGGCAGGACAACTGAAAATTCAAGGCTAGCTTGTACCACATAGGAATACCATGTCTCAAAAACAAACAAACAAACAAACAAACAACAACAAAAACAAGTAAAAAAGAAAAGAAAAAGAAAAAGAACCCTAACCTCCAGGAAACAGTAATAACTTCTAACTACTGAAATATGAGCTCCTATTTGGAGCCCAAGAATGCTACCAATAAAAACCTGTCTAACCAATTCAAGCTGCTCAGATGTCTTGCATGTCTTCTCGATCTGACTGTGGCATCAGGCAAGTGGTCTTACACGTGTCCCAAAGGCAACTCAGCATCTACCCCATCAGACATGGTCTACATCTGGGGAGGAACACACCACTAATTTGTTAATTTAATACAAGACAAACACAGGTCCCTCAAAGTTATAGAAATTAAGACATAGAAGAAAAAATAACGAAGCATGAACTGTGCTAAAGCACTTCAAACATAATACAAAATCTGATCATTTTGGTGAAGGTCAAAGTAATTGTGTTCCAAGTTGAGAAGAAATTTGAGGCCGTCGTGAAAACATCCCTTCTCAGTAGAACTGATCACAAAACAAGTGCAGAGAAGGTCTGGAGAAAATAATGATGATAACCATTGCCCCCAGAATCCCTCTCTCAACACAAAGAAAAACATCTCAGGACAACTTTCTTTTGAAGTTCTGCACATTTTAGGAGACATTGTATCATAACTCTTTAAAAATCAGTGTGGGGACAAAGGTCCAACACACAAACAAAACAATGTTCTCGCGGCAACAAACCCAAATCTTTGAGCCCTGGGGCATGCCAGCAACCTGATTTTTTCTGTTTTTTTTTTTTTTTTTTCAAAATGACCAGCTCATTCAAAAGCAACATTTGCTTTCAGCCTTCTTTGCCAATGCGTTATTTTCTCCAATTATTAAGTGTTATTGTTGCACAGGGCCAGTCCTAATCTTCTTTTATTTTTTTAATACTCCACGATCTCTCATGCCTTCCCTACCCCATGCCCATGGCTGTAATGGCTATCAATAAGTTACCAGCAGCAAATACATGTACTCTTTGGATTTTGAGAACTGGACATTTAAATGCTTAACGCAATATCTTCTTCTGACTTTCAGAGATTTGTGTAGCTCTCTAAATTCAAAAACAAATCATGTGGGCTGGGGAGATGGCTCAATGGAATAAGCACTTCTCTGGCAAGCACAAGGGCCTGAGTTCAATCCCCGGTTCCGTAAAAAAAAAAAAAAAATCATGACATTTGTATCTCAAAGAAGGGTTATGTTTAATGGTGTCTCTTGGACAATAGCCATCCCATTTAGCCTAGAAGCCAAGAGTTCTTGTTGTCACTTGCCCTACTCTAACTATGCCAGGATCATATCACAGTATATTCTATTTTGTCCCTCTTGTTTTTCAGGCCAGTCTGTTCTCTCCATTTTCATTGCCACCATCCTAGTCCACATAACCTGGACTCTTTTCGTAACCTCCCAACAGATTTTCAGACATTTACACTTCCCCTCTCCTGACCTCTTCTTCCTGTGATAATCAGTCAATCATCAATCAAGTGGACCAGTCACTTTGATTAAGCAGTTGATCAAGAGATCAATTTGAGAGACAATTCTGAATGTGGTACATATCACTTGCCTCACCCTACTAACAAAAGATACACATACAATATACACAAAAATACATCATATATATATATTCAGTATATCATTGAATTGGCTTCCCTTTGCTCGTTTGAAGACAACCATTCTCCAATGATAATGTCTGGCATGCCCTGACCCCTCAGTCTTCCTTAGGTCACTAGACACTTTAGTCTTTGCTCCACTCAGGCTTTTTGTCCACTTCCTGAAACTTACTGGGATCTCCACCCATTGAAGTCCTCGCTTGCACATTCTCTTTCTACCCAGTTTGCCTGTTCTACTTTTCTGAGCTATCCCCAGTGCCACCTCTTTCCGAGCCCTTGCTGAGCTCCTCAGCCTCCACCACAAAGCTGCTTGGGTACATTCTCCTTTCACGGATTTCCTTGGCACCCTGTTGTTTTTCCTTCGTAGTGCAACTTCCTATATTTTTATTGTTGCATTGGTTATTTCATCAATGTCAATTTTTCAGAAAACTGTATCTGTTATAAAAGCAGGGGTTATTCACACAATATTATAAAAGTCCTTCTTAGTATGCCTGCCAGTTCGGCACCAATGCACTGCTGAGGAGAGATGACACACTATGTGCTGGAGTGAACCGAAGGTACAGGAAAAGTAAATTCCTAGTTCATCCACACCTGATTTCCCCGATAAAATGGAACGTACATTAGTGTATGACTGCTTCTGTTTCAATTCATATTGCCCAGCACATTAGGAACAATGGATTGTTTTTATCAAATGCAATAACATACAACTGAATGTGACAAGAAATTTTCAGAACTAGGTTCAGTTAATTAAATATGATACCACTCAAGTTTTTTTTTTTTAATGCATTTAGTACAAGGTCTACAGGTTCTCACTACACTGATCAGACTTATAGTGATCCTTCCTGTTTTCCAGCCTTCCAAGTGCTGGGATTACAGGTGTGTGCCCCCACGCCCAGTCTCACTTGCCATCTAATTCCCCTTGGGGCTGGTCTGGCACAGCAGGCAGGGGATGGACCCTGACACTCAAAATTTTGATAGGATTTTCAAAAGTGAAACATGAGAAAATCCTTCTAAAGCTCATTGGAGTAAAAAATATGGAAGAAGGTTAATTAAAAAAATCTCTGCAAAACAGAAATGGTGAATAAAAATGGGGCATTGGCTCTTCTAGATAGTTAAAAATAATAAAAATTTACTGCTTATGGGGAAAATTGATATGTATTTAGAAATAAATCTATTTACATTAGAAATTAATATGTAATTAAATTGTTTTTTATTTATTCAGTAAATGCTTTTAGAATTACTTAATAGACATTTATCATTTGAAAGAGTATTTCCTTCCTTAATCTCATATGAAAACTTTCCAAATGGACTGAATATATCAATATTGAAAAGTGTTACATAAATCAGTGTATAATTATTGTTATAGTTTATATCTAGGTGTTTCCAAAGATCCTCATACATTCCTAAGATAGGCCTTCCAGAAGGGGATTGGATTATGGGGGTTTATAGAAGACTTGCCTTTAGGAGCTAGAATCATGGGGGACTTAAAGGATTTCTCCCCTCCCCACCTCCTCCTTTCTCTCTCTGCTTCCCAACTGCTAGCAAGAGCAGCTTCCCTGTGCCCTGGCCTACCATGCTGCCCCTGCCTGGGAACCAGCTGGCTATGAAGTGAAACCTCAGAAACTGTGAGCCAAAATACACTTGTCACCCTTAAGCAGTGGACGTCAGGTACTTTGTCCCAGTGATGAGAAAGTGACTGAAGCAATGTCAAGGAGTTTCATAATCCTGTAAAGGGGCTGAAAACAAATATGTATCATATGGTAGAAAGAGGAAATATAAGATTTCAAAATCTATTTTAAACTTATATACCAAGAGAAACTGAGAATACATGTGTAATAATGAAGACAGAAAAGGTTTAATTTAGCATTCTTATAAAGGAAATAAATTAAAATCACCCAAACATGCAAAGTTCTAGATGAGTGATTCACAAAAGCCATAATATAAAGGCCAATAAACCTGTAGAAGACATTTAATAATATAAGAAGGAAAAATGCAGCATACACAAAAAATATTAAATCCTGTCAAATTTGACAAACATTAAAATGTCTGATAGAATTAGGTGTAAAAGAAGATGCAACAAAATACACTTTTAATCTGTTTTCTCCACTAGATTGGAGAACATATAAAATCAGCTCCACAACTTGGTTTTTTTTTTCTTTTTAATTTTTATTTATTTATTTGGTACAATGTCTAGCTATTTATATTGGGCATGTACTAATCCTTTGGTCTCAGCTTCCCCAGCTCTGAGGTTACAGATGTGTGCCACCATGCTGGGTTTCAGTGGCCTTCATGTCATGTGGTACTGAGGATTGATCCTAGGTCCTTGTCCCTGCCAAGCAGGAGCTTAGGCCATTGAGCTATCTCCCCAGCCCCATTTTGTTTTCTTAGACTTCACATAAGTAATTGGGGGTCATGGAACTAAACTGAGCAAG